CTTTAAAGATTGACTGGAACAGTTGTAATGTACAGCAAACGAATTGTATACTAACTGTTCATACTATTATTAAAGTATCAACTGTATTTCAACGTCCGAGCAAATGCTGTAAATACAGACAGTTTAAGATTTGTATTTATGATGTTTACTACTGTAAAGTTGGCATGTTTTCACGTATATTGACTGACAACGAGCCGTAGACATTATCTGTTTGAGTGACATGAAGATGAGTAAAGAGTTAGAATATCAAGTTTCATAGCATCGAGATAATGTAGATACGAGTGCATAGAATGCCTACTTAAATAATGCTTTTTGAAGTTGATCATAAACTGAACAAGTAACTCTCGTCGCCGTAACTCGGATGTGGATGTGTATGTGAGTGTTGGTGTGAATACGACTGTGTGCCAGTGTTGGTACGGATATCAGCGATGATGTCGGTATCCATGCAGTGTGTTGCTTCTCTTCACTATTCAAATAATCATAATCATACCCATACGTATGCACACACACGTAAACTCGATACGCATAACTCACCCCGCTGCAACAGTACCCAAAACCTACACGCCCGCCATACAAACACGCAGATCTCACATCCACACGCTTGCCAACAGCGATACCTGCACCACACATATAAACTGCACCTACATTCACCTTACATACCAACACCCATGCCACATTCGGCATATGATTGATATAACTGCCAGCTTGAAAAATTTGATTGAACGAAAGTTGAATATCGAAAACATGTGATTAGCTGAGCTTTCAACAGGAAAATACTTATTAGCCAAAAGCTACACGGGGAAAACATGTCATTTGCTGAAATTCCAAGTTGATAAACTAATTAGACGAAAGCTAGAAATAAAAAATATCTGATTGACTGAAATTCCGGTTACAAAAAAAGGCCAAATTGGTCAGGAGCTGGATAACGAAAGTATTTGATAAGCTAGACTTCTAACATCAGAAAATTTGATTGGACGAGAGCTAGATAGTGAGAACAACGAAGTGAATAGCACGCCAACAGTAAAATCAACGTGATTAACTGAATGGCCAGCATGAAAAAACCTTATTTCATATAGTTACTCAAGATCCCCACAAATATATGTGTACACATGACTTTAAATGTGCAAGCAAACTCATTTTATTCCATATGACCCTTCCTTCAGTCGAGCGAATAATAAATGTGATTTTAATGGTAAAATAATACGTTTAAATTGTTGCTAACATTGTTTAAGTGTTGATCCACTAAAACCTCGATGAATAACATCGATTTGAATATTAGACAAATCTAATGTTAATGTTGACGAAAAACGTATTGATGAACTTCCGTAAAAACAATCGATTGTTGTTCAAGACTTATTAATGATTTATCGAATTTTAGTAATTCATCTTCATATTGTGCATTCGAAAGTATTTCATAAGGCTCTTCATCATCAATATACTGACAATTTAATATATTACGTATATAACAAATAGATTCAGATGAATTGTCTACTTCAAATGATGGTGTACATGAACCAGTCGATTATCGATCCCAGATAACATCACCATTTGAAATTTGACGACGTCAAAAACAGGAACTTCCATTTACAAAGATAGCAGGACCTAAAAATAAATTTGAATAAAAAACACAATGTTTTCTTTTCATTATATCAAATACTTTGCAAAGTATCAGCAAAAATTTGATAAGTTCCCTGATTATCAGTTTTCTAGATAGATTATCCAAAAAATCTATTGTAAATGTACCATAATAGGGTGTCCAGTAAGTCATGAAACAGACACACTAAAAATTGAATATCTCAATTATGACTCAACCAAACGGGCTCATTTTTTATCAAGAATAGAGACATGTTCACATTCCAAATTCATACGGACAAGGTCAGTGAGAACCTTTGTTAAATACCACTATTGACCTCAACAAGAAAATTTTACTTGTTCGCTAGTAGGAAAAAAACAATATATAGGATGGTGCAAAAGTCACGTTATCAGAAAAGAAAATTGAATATCTCCATTACGGCTCGAGCAAACGAGTTGATTTTCTTACCAAAGACAGAGGCATGTTCACACTCTAAATTCGTATGGACGAGATTAGTGAAAACCTATGGTGAGCATATTGTTTTCTTTTCCTACCTGTGAACAAGTAAAATTTTCTTGTTGAAGTCAACAGTGGTATTTAACAAAGGTTCTCACTGACCTTGTCCGTATGAATTTGGAATGTGAACATGCCTCTGTCCTTGGTAAAAAAATGAGCCCGTTTGATCGGGCTATAATGGAGATATTTGATTTTTAGTGTATCTGTTTCAAGACTTACTGGTCACCCTATATTATTTAAAAAATTTTAGCCAAATTGTTTCGAATAATTTTCTCGATTACCATTTCATTCAGATAAATACTATAAACTACGAAATTTAATTGGTGTTTGTGGATATGATTCTATTTTGTTGATGAAATATGATTTATTTAAAAATTTTGATGTTCATACTTTGACATAATATGATTTCAATAAGTAGAAAAATAGGAATCCTCCGGTACATTATGTTTCTGAACGATTATTTACAACACTGAAATTTTCTTATTTAACAAAAATGATATTTATGTTTTGAATAATATAAAAGTATTACATGTGAATATAATAAACCGTTTGTTATTGCAAATTCAAAAAACTTTTACAATATATCTTTTAGAAATTTCAAGATTGAAACATTATTTGAATTCGTAGTTGTCAATAAGAATAGAAACGTATACATAAAATATCATAATTCTTCTTTTTTGTATCAAATAATTAGTATGTTTTTCTTTGAATTGTATATTTTATGCAAAGTTGATATATTCTTGATAGGTGTTTTTCTCTTTATATGCAAAATATATTCTTTCATTCAAATAGATTGCTGGTTATTTTACTTATACTAAACAACATTTATTGATACAAAAAAAAGACACTTGCAATCAATATTTCAAGAGTATTACATAAGTTTCGACCACTTTTTTATTTTTTATTTTTTTTATTTTGACTGTATTTGAAGAGTAGGACATAAACCATCATCCAAGAGAAATTGGACTCAATTTATATTAACTGAAAGAAAATACGACATTGATAAAAATATCAAAAGAATGTTATCAAAGTTATTTTTTCGACGTGACCAAACGTTATGGAATTTCATTTTCTCATCTTCGATAAGTCGTATCAGATGTGTTAATGGGTTAAGCTCGGTCGAAGTAAATAGATCCATGCATTATCGACCTTGGACTCTTTTCAGCACATGGACCATTCATCTAATTGTATTGAATAAATTTTGAATACATGAATAAGCAAGCATATTTCAAGTACTAGTAGTTAATGTATAAAATGTCACAGGTGACATGTGAATGCAGTTAAGTTTGAAAGACACGAATTAATTTTAAAACATTCTCTTAGAAAAAGAAATTTATACTATGAATTAAAGCATTATAAACAAACTAACCTAATTGATTTAGACAAGAGTTCACAACATAGAATCACATTAAACAACATAAATAAAAAAATATTTATATTTTCTTTGTGTGTTTGTCTTTTACTGTGTCATATACCATCGATTGTAGTATTCGGACTATCAATTTAATTGTTAATTTCAATAGTGCGTACAACCATTCATTATACCCTAATATCATGACTATGAGACAAACATGTTGTGCAATTCATCATTCTTTTTAAAAAGCACTAACACCAACCCTTGCTCGTTTGGATAAATATTTTGAAAAAAAAATAAAATTTTTTCAAAAACTTTCACCAATCATTGTATGTCCCAAAAATAAAAAAAGTATTGTCAAAACATATATTCTATTGAACAAAACAATAAACAAATTTTTATGGTTTTACATTTACGACATCTTTTATTATAGAATTACAAAACGATATTTCAATTTCAACCAAACTCTAAACTCACCTGACACATATATTCCATATCGATCCATCGTCAAATATGGTCAAGATACAAAAAAAAAATTAATAATGCTGTCGAAACACCTTTTAATTCAACGATGGTGTTGGTTACTTCGCTTCTTCCCATGGCACTATTCCTCAGAAACCAGCAAAGTCTGCTAATGTAGAATAGACATACGGCTTTGTGATCTTCGTTCCTTTTCTATGGAATCGATTTAGAGCCCGTAGGATTAAACCCGAACCCGATGGGTTCTAGTCGTCTAAGAAATGTGTACGATGCAATAGTCACCGAATACAAAAAGAAACATCTTTTATCTTTCGGACGACTATCCAATTCGATTAGAAAACTTCCTTGAGATTATCAAAATATACTGTTTGACAGGGTTCAAGTTCGAAATTTTTAAATTCAACAGGCTCTAATTTGATTTCATTCATTGTGTTTCTTCGTTTGTATTATATTTGTCTCCTTTCTCCTTTTGTTTCGTTTCTGTCTATCGATTTATCATTATGTCCCCCGCAACCACTGATGAATGTTATAATAAAATAGAGCATTAATAAAAAAATCGCACCATTCAATTGAGAAAAAATGTGCCTGACAGATGTCATAATTAAAGGATTATAAGGTAATATTAGATGAGAAAAACAAATGATCACTTTTCTAACGAATTATACTGACTTTCATTGATAAAAGAAAAACAATTGTAAATATGGACAGAAGATACATTGTTTACATTAGAAGATATTAGCTATATGATGCCTTCATTATCAATGTTATCATGACAAGGTCCATGAAAACACATAGTTCTTCTTTCAGTATTATGTACAATTGTATTGCTAACACCTTGTATTTTGCTAACTTGTATGATATTTATTGTTTTTGACTATCAATCTTTATTCTTATTGTACTAATTTTTTAAATAGCCAATTAACAAAAAAATAACATAGAGAAAAATGAGTAGTCAAATTAATAAAAAAGCAAAATTTTTAATTATCCTAGTTTTTTATTATCAAACTTAAATTATTGTTCACTATTGATATATTTTCACAATGACCTTAATTTAAGTTTATGTAAAAGATTTATTCATCATTTTTCTTTAGGAATAGCTTCAACACAACGATCTCTGCATGAACATAAAGGACGACAACATTTATGTGTAGTTGAACAATCACCATCCATTTTGCATAGTGGAATTAATTCTTCCGGAAGACAAACACGACGACGACACATAATAGGAATGATTAAACTATTCGATGGACATTTACCTTAAGAAAAACTCATAGAAATTATCTTTTATGTATACTAATACGAACATACCTTCATGTACAATTAGTTCACGACGTTGTTTTGATTCAGCTTCAATCGAACTGATAACCAAAAGAAAAAATAAAATCACAAGTGAAGAAGCCAATGTCATGGTAAAAAATGAATGTAATATTCAGTAGCAATTTCATTTCTCAGAACCTATCTATATATATATAATCTATTGATGAGAACATAGTCATATGTTTGCAATAGACTTTGATCTTTGATATTTACTATTTTTCTAATATATATCATTTATTCAAAGTCACGATTTGTTAAAATATAAATTTATTTTTTCAAGAGAAAAAAAAAGAAGAAGGAGATGAATTATTTTAAGTTTATTTAAAAAAAGAAAAGGTGCAAAAGTAGTTTTTTCGTATATATATGTTTTAATACTAAAAAAAAAAGAAGAGGTTTGCAATCAAATCTATCGTTCTATTTATTGAAATATTTGTGTTATAATTGCTTTTTCTTCATTATTGTTATCAATTAAACGTGTTACCATATGTTGACCTATGCCCCATGTATTAACTTTATCAGCAACCAAATTATCACTAAGTGAATTTGCTGATGGTGCACTATGTTTTGAAAAAATACGAATTGTTTGTCTTGGTCGTAAAGAAAATGTTGATGGAAATTGATAAACTATTTCAGGTTTTTGATCTATTTGACGACGAATCGACCAATTTAGAAATGATTGCTCATTACCACTATATTTTTCATTAACTAATATAACTGAATCGGTTTCTAAATCAACTGATTCAAATGATATTGGACCTATAATAGTAGCAAAATAAAAAGAAAAAATTCAAATTTAAAAGATTATTCTTTTATAACCTCGTGCTGTTTTTTGTACGGTCATTTTCTTTGTTCCTGAATTACTACGATCTCGATTAGGAATTTCTTGATTCTGTTTTGATGATGATAATCCTGATGGTAATCCTAATGGTAGTCCTGATGATAATC